ATAAGTAGGGGAGAAGTGGCATGAAGGAGCCAAGCTTTGAAAGAGCCACCTGCATTATTTCGGTAGCTTAAGAACGAATTTGGTTGGTAATATTATTTTTAAGTGGCAACACTGATTTCCCATCACCCATAAACGTTTGATAGTTCGCCGAAACCAACGGACACCTGTACATCAAGTTAAAGTTTTTGACACTAAAAAGTAAGTATTTTGCTCCATTTAAGTTGTGTTTTTGTATTTTACTGAAAACAAATATAGATACATAGATTGTGGACTGGGTTTTTGCATATATTTGGCCTTGTAACTGCGTAAAAACTAAGCCGCAAAAGTTTTGATATTGTTGTTATTTCGAAGTTTATAGTTTTTTTTAAAATAAGTTATGAAAGAGCCGGGTTAATGGGCCTCAAAAGAGCTGGCTCTTTCATAGCCGGCTCTTTTATAACCCGTTTGAATATGCAATTTATTTCGTATATTATTTAACTATTTGCTTCAGAAATTACATTATGGAGAAACCTGGTTCAGAAAAACGAAAAAGACCCGAAAAAGAGGCAATCGAAGAAGCAGTCAGTGAAGTTTTGCAGAAAGGTCAGTCCATAAACAAAACTGCACTTGCCTTAAATATATCGAGGGCTTATTTAGCTAAAATAGTTAAAAAAGTAAAAGCTTCTGGTGAATTATCTTATAAACACTGTCCTAATATAGGGAATAAGCGTATTTTTACAAGAGACCAGGAGAATATGCTCGCAGATTATTTAAAGACGGCTTCTAAAATGTGCTATGGCCTAACTAGGCAGCAAACTAAGAAGCTAGCATTTGATTATGCCATGGCTGATGATATTTGCCCAGATAAATGGAAGGAAATTGAAACTGCTAGTGACGATTGGCTCAAAGGGTTTATGAGCAGACACAAAGACTTAGCTGTGCGAAAACCTGAAAGCACTTCTCTATCCCGTGCAACAAGTTTTAATAAAACAAATGTAAACAACTTTTTTGAGAAACTGACCACTGTTTTACGCAAACACAATTTTCTTCCCCATATGATTTTTAACGCCGACGAAACAGGCTGCAGCACCGTCACCAATCCACCTAAAGTGATAGCCGAAAGAGGTTCAAAACAAATTGGGCAAGTTACCTCAGGTGAACGAGGAACATTGGTGACAACTCTGTTCTTTATTAATGCTGCTGGTGGTTTCTTACCGCCTATTTTTGTGTTTCCTAGGGTGAACTACAAAGATATTATGTTAAATAATGGTCCACCTGGAGCTCTAGGGTTGGCTCAACCTTCTGGATGGATGACTGAAGACTGTTTCGTTAAAGCGCTTGAACACTTTGTGACTTATATTAGACCATCAAAGGAAAATCCAGCATTGATTTTAATGGATAATCACAGCTCTCATGTGAATCTCAGAGTGGTTGAATTTGCCAGACAAAACTCAATCGTTATAGTTACATTCCCGCCGCACTGCAGTCACAAACTGCAACCACTCGATGTCACTGTATATGGCCCTTTTAAAACTAGATACCGCATTGCCATGAATGAATGGATGTTGTCAAACCCTGGTAAAACGGTGACCATTTATCAAGTTGGACAATTTGTAAAAGAGGCATATCTGTCAGCATTTAGTCCTCAAAATATAACTCAAGGATTTTTGAAAACAGGAATTTATCCTCT